CTCCTCTATTTCTTTTCAGACATACTGGGCCTTGATAGCACCCTGAGCCTATTGCACTGAGCTACATCTTTAGACTTTTGGGTTGCCTGTTTTTTTTTAATGTACACAGGGTCTGGCTACTTGAGTTGCCCAGGATGGCCTCAAAGTTTGGATCCTCCTGTCTCGGCCTCCCAGATGGTGTGATTATGGATGTACGCTGTCACCCATCATGGTTACCTTTCTGCTCTTACTGCCAAAAGTTGTAGCCACCTGCTTGGTCTCCCTCAGGCAGCAATTGTTATGGGAATATGTGGCTTGTGTCCCACAGTTTTGAAGAATGAAACCTCAGACAGAGAGATTAGGGTGGCAACAAATTTATTTCAAAGAGCCAAGAAAGTGAAAGAAGGGCAAGGAAAGAAAGTTTTTGCAAGATGGAACTAAGGGGCCTCCACTGGCTTCAAAGGCCCACAACTCCCTGAGCCTCAGCCCCATAGTGCTGGGATTTCAGGCAGGAGTTGGGTGGGGTAGTACACACTTGTAAAGCCAGCACTGGAGAGGCTGAGACAGCACAATCTCTCGGAATTTGAGGCCAGCGTGAGCTATATAGTGAGTTCAGGGCCAGCCTGAGCTGCACAGCGAGATGCTGTCTCCTAAGGGAAGAGAAGGATCTGGGAGGCAGAGAGAACAGCTGATCTGGATGTCCTGCCATCTCTCACCCTGGGCAAGAAACTCAATCCAAAGGGGTCTGTCCCGGTACCTCACAGTGCTGCATTTGGTTCCATCTATGTCTCACCACACGCAACAGGACAAGACAGACACCTCACTGTCCCCACGGGATAGGTCGTGCCCTGGATGGAAACAGCATTTCACAGCGCCTCAGTGCGGGGCACAGGCAGAGAAGAAAATGAAAGGTTCTGGCGAGAGTACAAACTGCTCAGTTATCAAGCCCCTGAGTCAACATGGCTGAATGCCAGGAGCAGCGGCTTATCTTCCCGAGGACCACTTCCTCCTTCTTCCTTTTACCTTTCCAGAGCACACAAGAGAGCGCCCAGTCAGCTGCTTGTGTGTCACTGCCCTTCAGACCCTGGCCCTAGCCACAGCCCATGAAGTCTCCCCCTTGCTGTCTCAGGTCCGAGGACCCTCCCATCTCCCCTCCAGTGTCTCTGTGTCCTCCTCAAGGAAGCCCTTCTCTATTCTTTTCTGTTACTCTTGCTTCTTGGCCACACCCACCGAAAATTTAACAGAATGTAGGGTGGAAAGCCGGGCACAGTGATGCATACCTGTAATCCCAACACTCTGGGA